GGGTTATTCACAAAAGGGGTGAAGAGTTTGGAGGAGGCAGGAGAAGTGAACAATCTAGGACAAAATAGCTGAACCGGAAAGTGAGCTGAATTAGAGAATTTTTCCAAATCAGCGATGTTGTCCTATATCAGGGATGGCCAAACCTCCGGCCCTCCAGCTGTGGTGAAACTACAAATCCCATGAAGCATCCCTCTCCGGGAGTCATGTCTGTGGCTGTGAGAATCTTGCAAAGCCTCATGGGATTCTTAGTTCCACCACAGCTGGAGGGCCGCAGTTTGGCCATCCCTGTCCTAGATTGTTCACTTCTCCTGCCTTCCCCAAACTCTTCACCCTTTAGTGAATAACCTTGTTTGTCATTTTCCAGAGGGTACAAGATCTCCCTTTTGTTTTCTAACCATATTGTATAGGTGAGTGGGGGTGAAGTCTCAATTCGTTTTGTTCCGAATTGAAATTCGGGCGAGTTTCGTCATATTCAGACATCCGGATACATCCGAATTTCCAAAGGAAAAAATAACAAATCCGAACATATCTGATTTTTTGATAACGAAAATTTCAGGTGCATCTGAATTTTTTTCCAAATGTCATTCTGAATTAATTAATGTTGTTAAACATTAATATATATATTTTTTAAAAGCATGGAGTCCACTCCCCAATTCATACCAGACCCTTTAGGTCTGGTAGGAATTTTAGGGTGGACCCCAACGCCCAAAAAAAAAAAGTGTAAGGTCCACCCGAAAATCCCTTATCAGACCCTTAATCCGAGCAGCACCCTGGTAGAGCAGGAAAGGGAGGGGGGACAAGTGTGCCCCCCCCCTGCACCATACCAGGCCACATGCTACCAGGCCACCCCCTGGCAAAGCTCCTTATTCCAATGTCGATGAGGACAAGGGCCTTTTCCCTACAACCCTGGTCCAGTTGTGGGGGTCTGCAGGCAGGGGGGCTTATCTGTATTTGGGTGCCCCCTTTCATAAAGGGGGCACCCAGATGCTGCCGCCCCCTTGTAAATGATTAATGGGTAGTTGTTACCTCTACTCATTCACCAAATACAGTAAAATTGTAAATAAACACACCGGGGGAAAAAAAGTTATTTATTTGAAAAAAAAGTGACAGTTTTTGACAAATCTTTTATTTAAAAAAAAAAAATGTCCGTCGATGTAATCTAAATGTCAATAACATCTTATAATGATGTAGATCCACGTCAATCACGATGGACAATGAGCGCCGACTGACCTAAAAAAGAGAAATACCGGATGCCGATCCTGATGAACACCCTGCAAAATGACAGCTCTGACCCAAATGTCAACACAGGGTTGGAGAACAAACCAAAACACAAACAGTGCAACAGAATCTCAAATCTAAAAAAATGCTTCGATCTGTTGTGCTGACTAACAGCATGCTCATAGAAGGAGAGAGCAGAGGGATAACCTTCTAAGTCAGTTACTTTTTTCTCATTTCCCGAATAACACACTGGGGGCAGGGAGGTGACCGGGCTGTATTGCTTAAAAGCAGTAGAGATAAGTTAGGTCACCGGTCTGGTTGCACAGTCTGTTAAACCTCAGGACTGGATATAGTAATTCTTTGGCAGGTAAAGCATCTCCTGTATGTGTATTTCAGCTTTGTATTAATCTGTCTTCCAGAGAAGATGGCAGCGCTGGCCAACCAAGGTGATTGTAAAGGTATCAGCACTGGTGTCAGACAAGCCCAGAAAATGTCTGCAATAATGTCCAATGTTACATAGTTAGTCAGGCTGAAACAAAGACACAAGTCCATCGAGTTCAACCTATAGAGATAGGAAAATATGAAAAAAATAAGAAAAGCCTAAACAGAACACTATGCCCACAGTTACCCCCTGTTGATCCAGAGGAAGGCATAAAAAACCCTATAAAGCACGGTTCAATTTGCTCCAACAGGGAAAACAATTCCTTCCTGATCTCCATAAGGCATTCGGAAAATTCCCGGGATCAATAATCTCTGATGCTTAATATACCTATAAGACCTCAATATCCAGTAATATTCTGTGCATCTAGGAATACATCCAGATTTCTTTTTAAACAATTACCTGAGCTCGCTAGAACTAGCTCCTGGGGGAATCTATTCCACATTTTCACAGCTCTAACTGTGAAGAATCCTTTCCGTATGCAAAGGTTAAACCTCTTTTCCTCCAGATGCAAAGAGTGCCCCCTTGTCCTTTGCAGTGACCTTAACGTGATTCATTTGGCACCAAGCTCACTATATGGACCATTTATGTATTTATACATGGTGATCATATCCCCCCTTCATCGCCTCTTCTCCAGAGAGAACAAATTCAGGTCAGCTAATTGTTCCTCATAGCTGAGCTCCTCCATGGCCTCTTATCAGTTTAGTCGCCCTTCGCTGCACTTTCTCCAGTTCCACAATATCCTTTTTGTGAACTGGTGCCCAAAACTGAACTGCATATTCCAGATGAGGTACTAATGCTTTGTACAGGGGCAGAATGATGTCTATCTCTTGAGTCTATACCTCTTATCATACCAAGTATCCCAACCTGAAAAAAGTACGTTCAGGGAGGTGTCCTTCTCAATTCTTGGAACCCCCCTGAAATGATGGCAGATAGCAAAGAAGCTATTGCTTCCTTTGCTATCTGCTGGGTTTTCTTTTTGTTTGTTTTTTAGTATTCTGACACCTGCTGCCGTCGGAATGAAAAAAAACCCAAAAAACAGCATAGGAATGAATAGCTAGATTGCTATTGGCTATGGCAAATTCAAATAGCCAATAGCAATCTAGCTATTCATTCCTATGCTGTCTTTTGTTTTTTACTCTGACGACGGCCAGCAAACAAAAAACAAAACAGATAGCAGGGAAAGCTTTACTCTGATAGATAGCAGAATAAACCTTTCAGTGAGAAAATGTTTCTCTCGTGGATGTCCGGGAGCCGCTATCTTATAGCGGGAGACTCCCGGAACATCCGGGGGAGTTGAGATGTCTGTAATCCAAGAAAGTATTTTGCTTTCTTTAGAAACTGCAGCTTGACATTGCATGTTATTATTCAGTCTATGGTCTACCAGAACACCCAGATCTTTCTCCATCATTGACTCCCCCAAACATACTCCCCCTGGAGTGTATGAAGCATGCATGTTTCTAGTCCCCAAGTGCAGAACTTTACATTTCTCAACATTAAACCTCATTTTCCAAATAGATGCCCAATCACACAGTGCATTCAGATCTGCTTGTAAGTTGGACATATCCTGTAAGGACTGTATTCCACTTCCTAACTTGGTGTCATCTGCAAACACAGAAATAGTACTTTTAATCCCCAATTCTGTCATTTATAAATAGGTTAAACAGTAAGGGGCCCAACACTGAACTTTGGGGGACACCACTAACAACACTGAACCTTGGGGGACACCACTAACAACACTGAACCTTGGGGGACACCACTAACAACACTGAACATTGGGGGACACCACTAACAATACTGAACCTTGGAGGACACCACTAACAACACTGAACCTTGGGGGACACCACTATCAACACTGAACCTTGGAGGACACCACTAACAACAATGAACCTTGGGCGACACCACTATCAACACTGAACCTTGGAGGACACCACTAACAACAATGAACCTTGGGCGACACCACTATCAACACTGAACCTTGGAGGACACCACTAACAACACTGAACCTTGGGGGACACCACTAACAATATTGAACCTTGGAGGACACCACTAACAACACTGAACCTTGGGGGACACCACTAACAATACTGAACCTTGGAGGACACCACTAACAACACTGAACCTTGGAGGACACCACTAACAACCTCAGCCCATTCAGAGTATGAATCATTGATCACCAATCTCTGAATACAGTTTTCTATCCAATTACAGATTGAATACTCTATACCCTTGGTTCTCAACTGGTGGGTCGTGACCCAAAAGTGGGTCGCGACCCTGTTTTCAATGGGCCGCCGCAAGCCTTCCACTTTTCTAGGTGAGATGCTCCTCTGCCTCCCCCTAGCGCAGCACTGTGAGTTCTCGTGCCAAGGAGCCATTCAAAATATGCTGCCCGGGCCGAGTGTCAGCTTGAGGTGGGCTGGGGGTATGGCCGTGAGAGCTCCATCTATACATGCATTGCTTACAACTCCCTCACGTGTCCTATAGAGGTGCCATGGTGACATCCCATTCTGGCTCCCGGCACCTCTACAGGGCACGCAAGGGAGCTGTACAAGCAATGCACATATGGATGGAACTCTGGCACAGCACAGCAGCTCACACAGGATTGGCTGAGGATTCACTCCAGTTCAGGTAGGGAGACTGGGTGGATCCTCGATGTCTAATGTAATTCCTTGAATTCCTTTAATGTTGAATCTTGGAGGGAGTTTTGTAGGTGAACCCTGTTTGTTAGTTAAAAGGAATCAGGATAGGGAACATGAAAAAGATAGGAAACTAGATCAGTATAGGGAAAGGGGACAGGATAGTGAAAGAGATCAAGATAGGGAAAGGGGACAGAATAGGGAAAGGTGTCAGGATAGAGTAAAGGAACATTGTTGGGGAAGGGATCAGGATAGAGAAATCAATTGGAATAGGAAAAAGGAGTAGAATATCGAAAGGGATCAGGATACGGAAACAGGATAGGAAAAGGGATCAGTATAGAGAAAGGGAATGGGATAGAAAAAGGCATCAGGATAGGAAAAGGGATTATGATTATTATTATTATTATTATTATACAGGATTTATATAGCGCCAACAATATAAGGAAGACATTACGATCACAATACAATTCAAGACAAGATGGAATGGAGGGCCCTGCACATGACGGCTTACAATCTAAAAGGGAGGGGGAAGTGATACATGAGGAGGTAGCTGTGAGGGGATTAATTGTTTGAGAATGTGATGGTTCAGTGGTTAGATTGAGGTGGGATAGGGATCAGGATAAAAAAGGGAACAGGTTATGGAAAGGGAACAGGATAGGAAAAGTGGATTACGTTACGGTGAGGGAGCAGGAGAGGAAAAGGGGACTATGGTACTTAAAGGTAACAGGAGAGGGAAAGGGAACAGGATTGGAAAAGCAACAGGAGAGGGAAAGGGATCAGAAGAAGGAGAGGTAAAGGGATGAGGATAGGGAAAGGAAACAGGATAGGGAAAGGGAACAGGAGAGGGAAATGGAACAGGATTGGAAAAGGAACAGGAGAGGGAAAGGGATGAGGATAGGGAAAGGGAACAGGAGAGGGAAAGGGAACAGGATTGGAAAAGCAACAGGAGAGGGAAAGGGATCAGAAGAAGGAGAGGTAAAGGGATGAGGATAGGGAAAGGGAACAGGAGAGGGAAAGGGGATTACGATAGGGAAAGGAAACAGGATAGAGAAAAGGAACAGGAGAGGGAAAGGCATCAGAACACGAAAAGAAAAAGGGAAAAGCATCTGGTATAGGAAAAGGAAGAGGTACAGGAAAAAGTAATTGAAAAATGGAAGAGAGAAAGGAAGGACTTACTGTGTATCCTTATATAGATATAATATACACTGTTTTTCCTAAAATTGTTGTTCTTGGTCGTATTATTTAGCTGTGTGTGTATCTCTTAGCTCTGCAGAAGTGTTTGTCCTGATTGAGATATTGCGGTATATTCTACTAATAAATGAGGTACAGATTCTTTAACCTCCCACCTGGCATTCCAACCCGCGGCACACCTTCTGCCAGTCCAGTGAATCCATATAATTTCTTGCACCAACTCATGAATAAAATATTTTAGCACTGAGTAATCACGTTAAACCTGTTATATTCTCACAGTTTAGGAGCAAGTCATCCCTTAGAGGGAAGATTTTCTGTAAGGTTCTAAAGAGACAGTCTTGTTTGGATGTTCATTTGTACAGTATGCTGCGTGGATGGCGCCTTTACGTTCTCTTAGTGCTGGCTTTCCACGGCTTTTACGTCAACCTGCAGCGGAGGATGACCATCGCATTTTGGTAATGGTTTCACTGCTTTTGTGATTTTAACCCTCATGGAGAAGGAAGGCAAACCTGATTTTTTTTTAAAAAGACGTTCAAGGGCATAGCTGCCTGAATTTGCTGAGCTGCTTAAGCACAATTTGGGGGTGTTGGGGTATTTTTAGGGAATGTATTTTATTTAAAGTCCATTGCAAAATTAAAGGTTTAGCTCACCTGAGCGGATGAGCTCAGTGGCAGCAACTAGAGACAGAGCACACTGTACATGTGCAGAAGGGTCATACAGAGGGCTCAGGAGAAGGAGGTTGCTCAATCCAGTACCACTAGGGGGCTGGTTTATGTTAAAAAGAAGACAGGATGGAGCTGGGGGCAGGCTTCACCCCTTGTGATAATTGCAGGTGTAGGCAAAATCGGGCACTTCAGCTGTGGTGAAATTACAAATCCCTTCATGAATCTGTCTCTGGAAGTCATACTTGTGGCTGTCAGAGGCTTGCAATGCCTCATGGGATTTGTAGCTGCCCCACAATTGGAGTGCCGGAGTTTGCCTACACCAGGCCTACAGGTATGGAAACCGCATAAATGCTTATATGTAAAATCTAATTTGTTTAGGGTTATGGAATGGCGTTTAGGGACAGCATAAGGTATTTTTCTATAAAGGTGAACTAACACCAACAAACAACCTTCATTTTAATATTTCAGCGAAATAGCAATTTATCCCAATTTTTGCTGAGCTTGTGTTCCTTAAGACATATCAGCAATCAATGAGTGATTTAGTCCACCGTCATCTCATCATAACTGAAGTTCTACTTGTGGTGACATCCGTGAATATTTATTTAAACAAATTGTAAACGTTTCAAGAACTCTTTTTTTTAATATGAGGGCGTCATGGAGAAGATATTCTTCTCCATATATTCTTTTTATTAATCCAAGAATGTTATTGGAGAAATTGTTCAGTTTAGACTTGCTGAATCAATGTTGTGCCTGCAGGTAGACAGAAGAGACTTCAGTAATTGGTATTAAAGTACAGATCACTTTATAGGACTATCTAATGTCTAACAGTTGTGGGTTGTATTATATTATACAGAAGAGCTCGGGGCCATGCTAAAACAAATATTAAGCATAATTCTGTGTTTAAAATTCAGAATTGTGAGTTTGAAAGACAGAATTTTAAAAACAGAATTCTGAGATTAGGGGGTTGATTTACTAACCTTATAAACACGCCACGAACATGTATACACCTCTGTAGTGTGTTCCCTCCCAGCATGATCTATGGGTGGAATCTAAACACCTTTGTAGTGTGTACACACCCAGCAGGTGTGTTGTGCAAAGCCCTGCATGAATTGCAAGGTGATGTTGTGTAAATTAGCTCTATGTTGTGTTGCTTGCGTTGATAAATGCAGGAATGCTGTGAAGCAGCATTATATATGCGGTGAAGCAGCATTATATAAACTGTGAAGCAGCATTATATATGCATCATGTGCATGATTTTTCCATATATGGCATTAGTGGAAATATGCTTTTAGAGACTTTTTGGTTGATAAATACGTTTTGCTGTGTGAAAATCACACGCACCTAGTGCGTGCGTGTGTTTAGGTTAGTAAATCACCCCCTTAATCTCAGAATTCTGACTCTCAAACTCAGAATTTTGACTCTCAAACACAGAATTATGTTTCATATTTTTCTTTAAGCATGTGCTCTTCCGTAATATTACCCCCTATGGACCAGAGCAATTGTTATAATTCTGGTGTGGGACTATTGATTCTGCAATAACGTAGTTGTTACTTAAAGTAACGATATGTATTACTGTTTTGGGTTTTTTTTTAGGACAAACAAGACTTTATTTTGGTGATCTTTCTTGCAAAAATTATTTTATTTATTATGCAATCCGTAGACAAAAGGTGAGTCATGTAACAAGTAACAAGGTGTTACAGATCTGCTAAGCTGATTGATGTGACAAGTAGTTAATTGTATTTGGTCATGACTGTTTCCTTTTGCTATATCCTTGTATTAATATGATGCCTGTAAGCAGAACTATGGGTAAAAATTGTATTTTCTCTTGCGGTGGGGCTACTCCTACCATGGAAATATTAAGTGCTTGTTTTTGCCTAGGTTAAAAAATAATGAAGTCCACTCGAATTTCAGCCCTAATGAAGGGGGGGGGGGGATTGTTGTCCTCAAAACACGTTGGATATTTTCTGTTTTTTCTGTCATCAGTTGGGTGATTAAAATATTTTGGACTCTAAACTTTTTTTGGTCTGGCACTCTCATTCCACCCATTACATTTGGATTGCTCGATTCTCTAGGGGTCTCCTGATTCCTGCAGAAGAGCTGCCTAACCTAAGCCACTGGCCTTAAGCAGTGATTCCACCTCCCTTCTTTAAAAAATACAAGAAAGATTCCAGTCCAGTGCCTCATTTGCCTTTGCTTCATGCCTTGTACCCATTGGGGAGATTCACCCTTCTATCTGTACTGGTGACCATTGTCACCGAGATGGAATTGTAGAAATGTCACCAGCACACCAGTCCTTTTAAGATAGCAAAAGCTTCATTTATTGAAGTTTTTTGTCATATGACCAACAAGCGCTTTCGGGACCACACAGGGTCCCTTCATCAGGCTTTACCATTGACAAGATAGAAAGTGACCCCATACCAAGAGGTCAGGGTGAATCGTACAATGGGGACACCTGTTCCAGTGATAACTCTGGAATCCCCTCATTTTAGGAGCTTTCCCCTAAATAACTCTTGTGTTTCTAGGACAGGAAGTGAACAGACATTTCCCCAATGGTTCACAGACACCAAAAAGAAATATCTAATAGGGGTCTCAGTCCTTCCCCACTCTGTCATAAGCTGAAAAAAGTTGGACACACACACACTTTAACTATTACAAATGATGGTTTTATTTTTTCTCTTTTTTAACCCTTTCAGGAGGAGAATGCGTCTCACAAACTCATTGACTTCTGACTGTGAGAATTGGAGAAACATTATTTTAAATAAATCATTGAAATCGTAAGTAGTGACCTCATCTCTCTCTGATATAAGTAAGGTCTCAACGTTGTCTTTGCTCTTGTCCTCTATGAGGACAGTTCCTGTTTTTATATGTACTTGTATAGCCAAAACTTTCTTCTTTTTTCGGACATAGTAGGGACTGCCTAGATCCTTGTAAAGCAATTTAATGAATTGGGATTTACCTGCTATGGATCACAGCCGCAGAAGTAGATGCTACTCATACAACCAGATGAGACACTATAGAGATGATTCACAGCTTGAATATAGTGTTTGTTTTCTAGTTAGGTACGAGAGAAGCCTGTATTACATCACGCAGGTGATGCAACGCATGTTCATGAATAAAGTCAGAAGGTGAACAAGTGGTCTGTATTACTTCATACAGGCTTGTTAAACTCTGGGTTAAGAGAGTTTTAAGCCGACAGTCGGCTAGAGGGTCAGAAGAGCAGAGTGACGCCATGGGAGAGGGCGGCGCTGGCCACTGTTCCCGGAGTGTGGCCAGGTAAGGCTGTTACAATCCTCTATGAGCACAGATCTTATTCTTATATGTACTTGTATAGCCAAAAAAAAAATCTTGGGCATAGTAGGGACTGAGATCCTCAATGAGTGCAGTTCTTGTCTATAAATGTACTTGTATAGCCAAAAGTAAACTAAAACTGTGTTGTTGTCCGCAGGAAACAAGTTTGTTTTATTTTCTTCTTTCTACATAGAGTTAAAGCCGATGAATTCAGAGAGTTTGTTAATAAACTGAGACATTGCCCGTGGCAATACAACGAGTCTGAACACAATAAGATTAAGTGAGTATTTTCCATATAGGTTTCCTTTCTAACTATAACTGTTTCTGTCTGGAAGACTGAGGACATGCTCCTAATGAATGGGGGGTCATGGCCGCATCCCACCTGGGAGTCATGGCCACCCTTTATTTATAGTGTATTCATGCAGACAGCAGTGCTGACGTCCTCATGTCAGTGCCGCTTTCTGCATCAGCAGAAGACCGCCCCGAGCCAGATAGTAGGAGAAGAGGACATGACATGACACACATGACCATCCTGAACAAAAGCAAAAAATTCCCAGCACACTTACCAGCCACCCTGCAGAAATCACACTGTCTAACTATCAGGGTTAAAAAGAAGTTTTAGTTGCACAACTTTTGCAAAATATATGAAAGCAACAGTGTCTCGTCAAGGCCCCGCTGTGTAGTGTGGACCTAACGCTAATTTACGAGAGATTCCATCTTGGAGCATATTTATAGCAGAGGTTGAATTGGGTGCAGGTTCACCATAAGGCAGCCCGTGACCATCCTGAAGACTCCTAATAAAAAGGGTAGTAATACAAACTGGAGCAAAACATACATGTGGGGGGCCCTCCCGGTGGGGTGGAGGGGAGATTTGTGGGAAGTGAGTCTTAAGCGCTGAGTTGGGCTATAATACTTTGATACTTTAATGAAGCCCAACTCCAACTAGAGCTTTTGTGAGGAAGAGTTAGAACTTTTATCACACTTACTGCTGCATGTGTTCTACGTTCTACTTTCACTTCCTGTTCTATCGAAAATAAATGTTCTCCTTAGCATCAGGGGATATTTCCTCCATAAAAACCTGGGAAGTGGGGTGAGAGCTCCCTACTGAGGACACAGACAGCAATAAAATTCTACAGAGGTTCTAATCCTTTCTTCACTAGGAATAAATTATTTCACCAAAATTCATTTTACAGCAAAATTACAAATTTTACCTTCTACATTTCATCCAAATTAGCTCCGGTTTTGTCATGAAGACGGCTTAGGTAAAATGTGCTGATTCTAGGAATGCCTCATGATCACCATGTCTGCTGATGATAAACACAGCCAACTATAACCCAAGGCTAATCCTAACACTAACCCTAACTCTCAGTCTCCAGTCACACCTGAGCGCTTCGTGTACGCACGTCAAACGCGCAAAAAAAGTGCACTTTGTAAAATGCGTCAAACATTTAAACGTTCTTGCTGTACCATTACCATTACTGGCACCCCAAAGCGAGTGTTTTTCAAAGCCTGATGAAGGGGACCCTGCGTGGCCCCGAAAGTGCTTGCAACCAAGAGACAGCAGGCGACAATAAATGAACATTTGATGCAGTAATGAATCTGGTGTGCTAGTGACGTTCTTCAAATTTCAGAACGTATGTCGCAGACTTTGCTACATGCCCTACTTTTTTGCATTTGTAGCCCATTCTGGATCCCGTTGAAATCAAACAAATGCACATGAACGTGCGGAAATGTGAAGTTCATGAACGCTACGCTCAGGTGTGAATGAGGACTAAGGCCCCTTTCACACGGTCCGATCAGGAGAGGATCCATGCATGGATTCCCTGCTGATCTGGTCGGATGTCATTGTTGTGCCTTTTTTTCCATCCATTTTTTTCCTCCTTCCTTTCCAGATCCGTCTGAAAAATCCTTACCTTCAGCTCTTACCCTGACCTTTTAGTTTATCAATAAAGCCACCTGATCACTAATCCAGGGCTTGCATGGTGATAACATAGCTCTGTTGCTAAAAAAAGGGTTAGGATTAGCATAAGGGTTATTGTTAGGGTTAGCATTAGTTCCAAGCAGTGAGGATGTAATAGGAGCGCCACCCCATTAATTGTAGAGTCCATATAGTTTTAAATTATTTTATATTAGAGTAGGATAAAACGCATTTCGGGCGCTCTGGCATCCCACTTTATCAGGGCTACAGCACACAAGAAAAAGAGCAAAGGGTCCATATAATAGAATCCACTCTGGTCAAATGATTACTCAATAAAAAGAAGATTTAATTACAAAATAAAATTACACAATCCTAAAAAAAATCCTAAAAAGAAAAAAAAGGGTTAGCTTTAGGGTTAGAGTTAGGGTTCCAGACATCACGTTTCCAGTTAATGAGGGGCTATTTTGGCACAATAATAGGTCCAGGATGTGATTCTGTAACCCTCAGGAGTCATTTCAATCTCATTGCACCTTTAATAAAACACCCAAAAAATCTTTACATTCCCATTTCTCTTGGCTCCAATTCATTTGGCTAAAATGGAAAAGGACAAACTCCCAGTTTCCTTCCTCCTTATTCTCCACTCTATAACATCAAAAAGAATGGCTTGAGTTTGGCTTAAGGCACCAATGTGTCAGAGGGGTGTCACATTTTAGAGCACCCCTCTAGAAGCCCCCTTTCTTCTTAAGAACAATATGGGAGTGGAATGTATGTTAGATCAGCGCATGGGTAATAAAACGTGCATTAGACTGTAACATCAGCTGTTATAAACCGTTATTCTTTGACAGATTGCCATTAGGAGATTGCTGTAATGCACGACACATGTTACTGGTCACCCAAGAAAATGCTCCTCTTGGACATAAACTGAAATTTGAGACAGACCCCAGCAGAAAAATTGAAGTGACAGAGAATATCTACCGAATGCTGCCAAAGGTAAGTCCTTTTTCATGTATTACTTACTTTAAAATAGTTGTAAAAGTTGTTTACACAATGGAACATACTTGTTACGGTACTCGCAGAGTCCCTGCCGGGTTTTACAGATCATCTCTGCGAATCCCAGCCAGGACTTCCTGAAGACCTGCCAGTACATCTAATGGTAATCACAGGAGCCCTGCCACTATTTCTAATGCCTCTCACAGAATCCAGGCTGGTATGGCTAGTGATATGAAAAAGCCACAGAATCCAGAGCAGTACATTAAGAGAACCTTAAAGTGGTGCTGGGCATGTCACCTCTGATTCAGAGGGGTATGTAGGCACCAGGTCTAGGCTGGTGCTGTGTCTTCTAACCAGATTCCGGTTTGTTACAAAGACCTTTAACACTTTATTGTTTCCTGTTTACTGACTCGGATCACCTGACCATTCTTCACTAGCCACCTGCCCTGATCTTCTGCTTGGACCCGACTATGCTCTCATCTCCTGCCTTATCTACTGACTGCTCATTGCAGACCTGGACCGCCTGACCTCTCTCTGCTATCCGCCTGCCTCAACCCCTGCCTGGATCCGACTTTCCTAGATCCAGTTTTTGTCTTCTGTCTTCTGACCTGGACCATCCAATCATTCTCAGGTTATTTCCTGTCAGGACCTCTTCCTTATCCTGACAATGCCCTGGACCACTATCTACTCATTGGAGCCCTCCTTGTCCTCGCTCATCCCTTAGTAGGGCGATCCTGGGGGCTGCGACCTGGTACCTGCAAGGAAATAAATGCATCTCCACCATCAGAAGCTCTGGTGAAGACCGGCTGGTGCTTAGACTTTGAGCCTTGAGTGAGCCTGTGTCACCTTCCAGAGGGTTTCCCCTCAACAATGCTAGAGGAGGCATATCTTTTAGATCATATTTGATGCCCAAATGCAAAGGTATGCCTTCCAGGGGATCTCTGTATGTAAAACATAACAATAAACCTCCTTGCTTAGTGAATTCATTAAAAAAGCTGCCATGACACAGTTTGGATGCTCCATATGACCAGTGGCAGGTGTGGGCCCAAGTTTAGGCAGAGGGGGTCTAAGAAGTTTCTAACCTTTTCCAGGAACCCCTACAAAAAGGTTGTATCTAAATGAACACCTCTTGAAGATTTAACTACCTTTGATAGTCAGAATTCGCTCACTTTAATATATGCATGGTGAAGAAAACACTGGTATAGGAGACTGCCATCCTGAAAAAGGGAAGGCACACTGGAGTTTTTGGTTGGTTACCAACAATTGTCTGAAAAGTGTATTTAATTGTTAACTGTCTGTCATTTGAGCTGAATAAGATTGGTAATTGATACTCCCGCTTTCAATGAATCCCAAGGATGGGTGACTATGAAACAATAACTCTGTGCAGTGGAGGATTGGGAACTTTTAGCCTGGGAGGAAAGAACAACACATTGGCCTTTTCAGGGACAGTTTTATGTGGGGAGAAAGTGTGTCACAGGGATTGGTGGGTATGGTGGAAGGTGGGTTTATTGTAACACAAAAACTTTTTTCTGTGACGAAAAAAAAAGTATACTTTATGGTGTCCCCATTCCTTGAATTGCCCGGTACTTGTGCAAAAATTTGAATGTGTTGGGCCACTCCCCCTTTACACTAAGTCACAGCAGAACAATTAGGAGAAAACTAAATAACTATACTACTTGATACTAAATAACTAAACTACTTGTTGGGATGGGAACCTTTTCCTTTCTGCCCTGCAATAAAAATAACATGGGGTGGTCAGGTCAAAAGGTTGGTGAGGATGCTAAATAGTGGGTCAGCAGGTCTCTTGGGTCAGCAGGACAACATACTCACTTGAGAAGAAGTTTATATGGATTTATGTCTTTTCACTTTCATGCTGCTGGATTAAATTATAAATATAATGAATATAGTATAAACTGGACATTTGTGCCTCTAATTTTAGTCATATATATTGTGGCAGTGCGTGGCAATGCCACGGTGTAGTATGGCAACTTTGGCGCCCAGGACTCTCAGCCAGAGGGGCTGAGAGGTTCCACAATGTGAATACTTTTGGAGAGGAGGAACTGGCTGTTCAATCCCTTCCAGGTTTTCCAGACTATAGTGGGATGGGATCTCCAGTCCTGGGGCCAGGTGTTGCCAGTGGCCAGGTTGAGCTGATCATGTGGCTAAGAGCAGCCTTATTAGGAAGCCAGACTAGTGCCTTAGAGGATAGTTGTGGGTGTGCTGTAGGCACACGGCTACAGGCAGACGCTGCTGCGTGCGTGAGCACAGGTGACACAGCCAGGAAGGCTGGAGAGGTCCAGAAGGTCGGTGACCCTGAGATACCTGTCGGGGAGACAGAGGGACAGTGACCCACGAGGGGTGGATACTGAACCGCTTGGAGCTGAGGAAAGCTGCTGAGCAGTGCTGAGGACTGTATTCACAGAGAAATAGGGTAAAGTCCTGGGACTATCACAGGGGGAGTGTATGGGACAGACAAATGTCGGTGAGACCAACCACAATGTCTTGATGAGACTTCTGGATGAACTGTTATGCTTAATTTATGCTGAATAAAGACTGTCCTTTTATGTTAAAGTCGGCTTCAGGAGTGGTCACTTAACGCTTACCATTGGGCTATATTCCCCAAACTAGGCTAGCCCCCGCTCCAGTCACCTAGAGGAGAGGAATGAGGCAGCATATGTGGCAAGTTGTGAGTGTGGCAAAACTGCGTCAGGAAAATGTAAAACTTGAGCCTTTGTTTAGAGATCAGAAGTATGTAATAAATATAGTTCAGGGGTCATTAGTAACTCAGAGTACAGAGGTGGGGAGCAAATAGGGCAGAGTGCAGAGGTCAGGAGCAATAATTACGAGTATGCACACAAATCTGCATTATAGGCATCAGAAAACTGCCAGCCAGCACCCTTATACAGTCTGCTGACCCCCTGGTACTGCCCCCACACCCCCCAACACTTAAAAACACTTGAAATCTAGACTGATATACATTGATGAACGCAATGTGGTTGATTTACCAAAAAGACTGTTTCACTGAGCAAAAGAAATGTTCATCTTGGAAAATGTTTGTTTTATTTGCACAGAGAATGTTCACTTGTCTTATTGAATAATCTGAAGTTATGTTCACTTCAATCATCCAATTAAAGTGACATTAAAGTATACATTTTTCCCCCTCCCCCCAATGTTAGTGTAAGCACTAACCTTCAATAATGTTTCTTAATCCGATCTTCTTCTTCTTCTTTCCTGTCGTTTTCAGCCTTCTCTCCAGGGCTGTAGCGGGTCTCCGATCCAGCGCTGACTCCTCTGTGCTTGCTGGCACTTCCTGTCCCACGTAGTCTGCATGCTGGTGCACGCGTCCATAGACTTAGCTTGTGTCTCTCCTCATCTACCGGCCGCATGCGCCCGCACCAAGATCCTTTGCGGCCGCCTGAGATTTTTCAGATTTTCAGATGGGACTTTTTAAAAAAGTTTTTGCATATATCTACTGCTTCCTATAAACTGAGGGTTTAATAACCCTTTAAGTACAAGCAAATTTCCCATTTTTAGAATTGCATTGCATTGCATTGCACAGGACGGAGTGCTTATTAAAGAAGAACTATGAGGTGAGTGCTTTTCACTCACCTCGTAGTTCTAGCCGACCTGTGACAATGAAACTGTGTGCTGCCGTTACCCTAAGGAGAACTATGGGGAAAAGACTTAACCCCATAGTCCTCCTTTAAATGTGAACCTACCTTCACCTTATTCACTAAGCAAAGGCAACACTGTCAGCTCCACACCCTCTGCAGTAAATACAGATTTTTCCAGGAGTTCATGAGTTTGTATAAATACATTTGAAATGTGACCTTGTACATGTATATGTTGACTGAACTCTTTTGTAAATTCTAATATATTTTTTTACAAGAGTTACAATATTTTCTAAATAAACATTTAAGGGGACATGGAGTTTGCCATGGCTATATTCAGGACTCAGATCCGATAGTAAATCCTTGTGTAACTAAACTGCAGTTCACAAATACTCAGACGCTCCGCCTAGCCTTACACTGCTCCTCATCTTTACTGCCATACCCATCCTTCAGGTCCAGGACACAAGGTTTTGTAGCACTACGGCCAGAAAAAGAGGAAAAGAGGAACTTTTGACATAGAAAAGGCCAAATAAAATAAACAAAGCTTTACTCACTTCAGTTTCAGGATGTCTTTGTCCAGGACGTGGTGGCCCCTGAATGTTCAGCTAGTGGCACTGAGATGGGCTGGCGGGGTGGCTGCTTGCGGTTGAAGTGGCCCAGGCTCCCACAGAGCAGAGTGGGTACCAGGCTGGGACAGACATGTGCCCGGCTGATGCACTCCAGGAGGGGGATATATATATATATGGAGCGCTACCACCCGCTGAGGGGATGACCAGTTCCTGTGTTAAACTCAAAACTCACCGACACACTTTGTGGGAAGTTCAAATGGGCTTTATTTAAGCTTAAAATCCCTGTGAGGCGAGAAAGGGTTAACAGCATAACAATACAAACCGGGAGACAATAAGCAACAATGATGAGTTAACTGAGACAAAGAAATCAATGTACACATTCCTAAACAGATGCAAAGCCCCACTCAAAAAAGTACTTTGAATAACAGCTATCTATAGTCCACCTCATCCCTCCCGCACTGGCCACTGGTAAAATAGGCTAACGATGGCTGCCGTTGGGGTTCAAATGTATGGATGGAGAGCTCTAAGTGCTGGGTGTAGAATGTTTCTTGCAAAACTGAATAAAGTATTGAGTAAGGGTGTCACAAGGCCTCTCACCAGATCCTGGAGACTGTATCAAATCTCTGGTCCCTTTAAGTCCCTTGTGGGCCAGTGAAAAGCACCGCGCCTCTCGAGCCATCTGGAGATCAGGATGAAGTGTGACTGGATATCTTCCGACTGTGAAGGGAAGTCGGCTTAGTTTGGCCAACCATTGTTTTTTCGGTCTTCCACGTTGGCTGTTTCTTTGTGTTTCTGCAGAAGAGCTTGGACAGCACATCTGGAAACACCTGTCTTCCGTGAAATTTCTGCCTGTGAGAGACCTTGTTGATTCAGTAAGACCACCCTGTGTCTTGTTGCTGAGATCACTCTTACCATTGTGTAAGATTTTTTTACACTGACTAGCCTTCAGCGACCGCAGCTTGTTAGTAGAACATGGCTTTTCCTCACCCAGTTTCATTTCTCCTACATGGCTGATTCTGATTGGTTTGATGATTTTATTTAACCTACATGATATCTTGTTGATCTTTAGCAGCTGTTTGAATTCATTGTTTGATCATGCACTGAACTATATGCCTGCAAAATCCTTAAAGTGACACCAAACTCAGGAGTTAAATCTAAAAATTGCGTTCAAGTGCCCTAACTATGAACAACAATGTATCTTATTTGTGTATCACTCAGCTGTAGATCCTCCAATCATCTCTGAATTGGTGCTGACACTGTCCTTCCTTCTGGAGGGGGGCTACTTTTGTTCCCCATGGTCCCTGTGTGTGTTGTAAAGTAGTCACCGCTCCAAGCATGTTCCTATCATAGACTACAATCTCAATACAAATTAGTAGACTAAACATGAGATTTTAGTCCATCACAGGAGCGCGCTTGGAGCGGTGGCTATTGTATATATACTGAATATTTAAGTGTTTTCAGATCTCTCCATTCCTCGGGAAACCCTTCAGGACCTGTGCTGTGGTCGGCAATGGTGGCATTTTACTGAACAGTTTCTGCGGGAAAGAAATTGACACGATGGATTTTGTGTTCAGGTGAGGAACAGACAATCCTAGGTGCAGAGCAGATTGTAGAATATGCACCATTAGAATGCACAGTGCATCAGAGCAGGTTCTCATCCTGTGCTATGTGAACCCCTAGGAGTATCTCCAGGGAGTACCTTAGGGGCTGCATCCAATGTGACCCCCTTCTTGATCACTGGACCACGGATGAGCCTGCACTTCTAAAGCCACTGAGAGATGGAAACTGCTATATATGGTTGTTTTATTGGCTGAGGAATGCTATCAAAGAAAAGTCTTAGTCTTAGCATCTGATCACTAAAAACGAATCTATTTAGAAACATATACAGTATATAGAAAATCTCCAACACATTTCAGTAAAATATATCCCTTGGCTTGGAAACGTAGGCCTGTCTGTGGTTGATTGGTGGAGCCAGGTAGGATACCTTGAGTGAAGCCGTGCTTTACTAGGTGCATTCCTGGATGAACAGACTCAGGAACTCTTCCGGATTGAGGAACTCTTCCGGATTGAGGAACCCTTCTCTAGAAGATCCAGCTCTGTCTCACATATTCAAACACACAACCTATACCTATGCACAGGTTTTCATTAAAACAACAGTCACCTGTTCTGAATATTTGAGAGATAATGCCATGTGCAGGGTAGCAGCATACGTCTCCTGGCAGACTTGTCCTGCGGAAAGTAAATGGTAAGATTTCAAAACCTGGTTCAATTGTCATTACTCTTTCCACCTTATCCCCCACAGATAAGCAGCCTTCAGAATGACTGTACTTCTCTATTCTTGCATTTCAATAGATTGTGGTAGTTCAGCTGTGCTAAGCATTTGACAACCACTTGCAGACATATGTGTGTGTCACAACCAGGCTTGTGAAGGAATGTAAATGTCCAGTCTTCATTTTTTTTTTACCACTATAGAGACTATAAATATATAATAAATTATTGTCCCTTGAAAGTGTATGTATAGCCAAAACCTTTTTTTATGTTTTGGATGAAGGGATTAGAGCCTCTGTCAAATGTTTCTTGTTGTCCCCGCTGGGGAGATTCACTTTCTCTGTTTGACCATTGACACCGAGACAGAAAGTGATGGGAAATCCTAAATTTTATAGTTGTCACCAGAACTGGAACAGAGTAAGAAATATTCCAATGAGGACACCTGTTCTGGTGACAACTATCTGAGAAGAAAATCCCCCTCACTGTGTAGAGTTTACCTCTCATTTCCTATTGTCATTTTAGGACAGGAAGTGAAGGGAAACATCCTCCAGCAATAAATATACTGACAGGGTTTTTAACACTTTCCTACTTTTGGCACTCTTTAAATGTAAAACTATTATGGAGTCCATTTTTTTATGTCTTGCATAAGCCCTTTGTGAGTTTGTTTTTGGAATGGCTGTAGTCTGGTCAGAGGTGTTTGCTATACATTGCTATACATTACTGCACTTTGCTCATTGCCTGACATTCGCTATCAGTTCCAGAAAAGGAAGAAAATAAAATGCCATTATGTCATTTACATACCTTTTCACCTTATCTTGTTACAGGCTTAATCTACCTCCTCTCAACCTGCCACATGACATCGGTACAAAGTCCCACCTCATCAGTGCCAACCCAAGTATTCTGATAAAAAAGTAAGATCCTTTTCTTCAACATAGGGAATATGAAAGAAAATGTCATTATTCATGAGACACTGGCAGAGGCGGCTCTAGACTTTGCGAGGCCTTAGGCGAAAGTTAGGTGAAACTTAAACATGAGGCCCCGCTCACAATCATAATGGAAAATTGATGGCTGTGTGGGGTTTTAGGAGGCTCTGGGTCTCAGGAAACTGTGCTTTTTATTTTTTACAAACTTTTTGTATTTTTTTGTTTTTTTAATCTTAGTTTAACTTTATTTTTTTATTTTTAAAAATTATTTAATTTTTTGAAACTTTTTCTATTTTTTTGGTATTTTTCATTTTAGTTTTTTTAATTTTTTTATTTTTTTTGCATTTTTACTCTTTATTTATTTAACTTTTTTTATTTTTTTCATTTTAGTTTAACTTTATTTTTTATAAACTTTTTTGTATTTTTAAGTTCATTTAACTTTATTTTTTTTTAGACTTTTTTTTTACTTTATTGCTGGGAGCAATAGCCAACCTGCTATTGGATATTTCAAATTGCAATAGCCAATAATAGGCTGGCTATTGCACCCACCCACTGTCTGCTGTCAATCAGCAGAGGAGGGACTTGAAAGAGAAAGTTCTCCATTAGGTCCTCCTTTGCTGATTGACAGCAGGAAGTGGGCGGGTGCAATAGCCAGCCTATTATTGGCTACTGCAATTTAAAAGAGCCAATAACAGGCTGGCTATTGCTGCCAGCTGCTGGAATGGGGATGATCGTGGCTGACAGCAGGAGAGGAGCGCGGAGGAGACGGCACGGGGGAGGAAGCTCACAGACTGTCGGAGGTTTCTTCTTACAGGCTGTAATCGGCTGTCTTTCCCCTCTGACGCAGATCACTGCAGTCAATTACAGCGTGTAAGGATAAATCTCTGACAGTCTGTGAGTATGCTGCAGGGAGAGTTGTTTGCGGGGATGGTGCTTACACCTGTTTCTCAGGCTATTGCCAGGATCTGCCCGTTACCATGGCAACAAAGGGATTTACCCATGTTTAAGTGGTCACTAAGGGGTGTGCCCATTTTAATGGAGATGGAGGGGATCTGCTCAATTGTCACAGCCATTTAGAGACCATCCCAGTTGACAGTGCAATTAAGGGACCCACCCCTGTGTTATAGCGAGCACCAGATCCACTCAATTGCCATAGTAATGGAGGGATCAAGGCATTGCCTTGGTGACCGAGGGCTTGGCCCTATTGCCATTATGACCAAAGAATCCACCCCATTGCAATGGTTGCCATATGCAATGGTGACAAATGGTGTCTGGCCTCTTGCCATAGCATGTGTATAAAACAAAACCTACATATGGACTCAACACCCCATTCCTCATTTATATAGTGTATAGTGTTCAAATAGCAAAAGAGGTATTGGGCCAGGTGGGGTGAACCAGTTGCCATGTCTGAGTGATCAGGCCTGTTTCCATGTTGACCAAGCAGTCAAGTCCATTTCCATGGTGTCAGAAGGATAGGGTTTTTATGGCAATGTACAGGTTGACTGCATTGCATTGCTATGGTGGTGGAGGATTGATCCCAAAGTGTTTGGCCTATTGCCATGACAGTTATAGAATGCTTAGTTTTCATGGCAATGGTGGGACTAGTACTGTTGCTCTTGGTGGCTGCGCGATCCACCAAATCCATATTTTCTTGTGGTGGGAGAATTTCCATTTCTTTTTCATTTGTACAGTAAAATCAAACTTCTGTTCTCTTATTAACTGGATTCTTCATGTTTGAAGGTTTGGAAGGCTCTTTGAAAGCCGGAAGCCTTTCATCGAACTTGTCAAAGGTTACGGCTCTGCAATGATCATACTGCCAGCTTTCTCCTACGTCCACAACAAAGATGTTTCCTTCCGGGCCTTGTACTCTGTAGAAGACTTCAATTTGGAAAACAAAGTTGTGTTCTTCCATCCAGAGTATCTTAAAAACCTTTCAAGCCACTGGAAAGAGATGGGCGTTCAGGCCAATCGTCTATCTTCGGGGCTCATGATGGTCAGTGCTGCTATTGAACTCTGCAACAAAGTTACTCTCTACGGGTTTTGGCCCTTTCCTAGAGACCCAGAGGGGAATGCTATCCCTCACCACTATTATGATAATATATACCCTAAACCTGGTTTCCACTCCATGCCGGATGAGTTTTATACCTACACAAAGATGCATTCAAAGGGAGTGCTTTATCTGCAAGTTGGGAAGTGTTAAATTTATGATATTTGTTGTTCAAAGGTTCATATAAATATTTGATTACTTTTATCTTCAGTTGTTGTCATGAGGCATACAGGTCTGATTACATTGTTTATCCAACTGTTTTTTTTACCTTCTTAACCAGAATATTGACTGGTAGAGCCATTGTCAAATCTTTTTCTTACAGAGTTTGCTGATACACTAGATGGCCAAAGATTTGTGAGCACATTACATTTACCTATGTATCCAAAAGTATGGAAACCCCTATAAATAATCAAGTTTGGGTGTTTTCAGTGAATGGTAGTTTTAAAGCTACAGCATATAAACACATTTTAGACTAGGGGCGCCCACAATTTTTCATCTGGAGATCTACTTTTCAAATGACGAGCTTAATGAGATCTACCAATGAAAAAACACCTGCATTCAGGGGCGGGAGGGGGGCATGGCGGTGCATTGAAGTCAATGGCACCGCAGCCACGCCCCTCACCCGCAGTGCGATCGTTCCACACAAAATAGTGCAAGCACTATTTTTGCAGATCGCACTGGACCGGAATTCTCTTTTCAAATAGAAAAAGAATTGAGGACACAACGTCCTCAATCTCTTTTTCTGCAGCCCCTGTTCTAAATGAATGGAAAGCACAGAGGTTTCCCATTCATTCAGAAACTATTTACTATCATCCAGTTTCTGAATGGGGAGGAGCCTCTGTACAGAGTGCTTCTCCCCATTGAGAAACTCATGAATGAACAGGAAGTGATGTAAAGCACTTCCTGTTCATTCATAAGTGGGGACACATATTATTATGTGTCCCCAGTTTTTTACAAACTGGAGTGATCAGCTGATCGCTCCAGTGTTTGTCCTGCACAGAGGATTGGCACATATCACTGATATGTACTGATCCTCCGCCACTCGGCCATGCACACAGGGGGGCTCAGCTTCTCCTCTGGATCCCCCCTGCTCTCCTGGGCAGAGGCAGCGGGGATCCGAGGAGAAGTGAAAGAAGCACTTCAGCCGCGGGGGAGCAGTGGAGGGAGCCACTGTCACAGCAGCATGGTCGAGCGGTGAGGAGAGAGAGAGCTGCCGGCTGTCAGATCCTTGCCTGAGCATCTCTCTCTCTTCACCACTCGTCATTTAGTCATTTGCCAGGTCCCTCCACATTCCACAGAACAGAGATCTGCTTATCTGGCCTATGATCTTTATTGCCCTCCCAGCAGTAGTGAGTCCCAAATCACCTCCAAGCCTTTTATAGCTGTTTATAATTAAAGGTATGCAACCAGGCACTCATCTGTCACCAGTGGACAAGTTGATGAATCCTGTCATATTCCTGTCTGAGAGGACAGCGGTATCAGAGGCATTGTTTAAGTGTTTTAAATTGTCACAGCACTTGCTGGGCACGGTCTGTGTTTCCATTAAAAAACACATGGTGGCAGCGAACGTTTGGTGTGTAAAGGGTTAACTGCAGAGTTTCCTAACCCTGGTGACAATCTCTCTCAGTCTTCTGGCCTGAGATTGTGTCCCGCGAGCTGGGAAATCTCTGTGCTGGGTGAGGCTGAGAGTGGAATCGCCACGTCCTTTTGACACCATGCTTGGTTCAGAACTGTGTATAGTCACGTGTGATTGACATACAGCGGGTTTGGGCCGGACGTACGTCACAGCCTACACAAAGTCCTGACCTCAACCCTACTAAACATCTTTGGGAGCAATTGGAGCGCTGATTGTGAGCCAGGTCTTCTCATCCGACAATGTTCTTTTGGCTTAATGGGAACAAATGTCCACAGACAGCAGTGAATACATAATGGGTTTTTTTTTTCTGGTAAAATGAGAGTTTTGGTTAATTGAATTCCGGATAACAGAGAGTTTACTGTATTTGTATTCATTGTATTGAAAATGGTGCATTCATGCAGACAAATCATTGCTTTGCCCAGAGACATTAAACACAAACACCAATGATTGCAGTTGTGTATTTATTAAAAATAAATCAACTGTAATATTAGCTTCTTGTAATCCCTGGTACTGCAGCACTTGGATCGGAAGAGGGAGGGGCAGTACACGGGGCAAATTAGGTGTCCTGCAGACAAATGTCTGACAGGAGGATGAAGCAGAGGGATAAGCTCATCAGTCTGTTGCTGCTCCTTGACTGTCCAATCACAAGCTGGGAGTCATGAACTGGCCTAGCCGCGTTAAAGTGCAGCAGGGAAAAGTCAGGTCATCAGTCTGGCTGTGCTATTTAGTAGAGCTGTGTAAGTCACACAACTAGACAAGTCACTAGCTGTGTAAGTCAGAGAACGCACAGAAATAAAATCCTTTGGCAGGTAAACAGCTCCCTTAAATGTATTCAGTCGTAGGCCTGGAGGTCAGTTTTAAAGTAAAACTCCAAAGAAGAGAACAGAAGAGGCGGAAACTTAACACTGCTCATTTCCTGTACAGTGGTGGGACCTTCTTTCCAGCAGCTCAAGGTGTTCTGAAGAAAAAGTCATTGCCAGAAGCAAATTACAGGCCTGTGAGAGTTCACAGACCGCTAACTAGCAAGTTCATACATTTTGTTAGGAGATACAGAAGGTCTCCAGATGCAGGAAGAATTGGGTCATTGAACAATGACAATCTACTTGGCACATTGGACGCTGGCTGCCTGCCCACCAATGTGAGACCGCACAGCCCTGGTGAGACCCCACACATCCTCTTGACACCGCACAGCCCTGGTGTGAGCGGCAGAGTGCTGGTGAGACCGCAGAGCCCTGGTGAGACTGCACACAGCCCTGGTGAGACCCTGAACACCGCCCTGGTAAGATCCTGCACAGCCCTGGTGAGATCCTGCACAGCCCTGGTGAGACCACGCACAGCCCTGGTAAGACCGCGCACAGCCCTGGTGAGACCACGCACAGCCCTGGTAAGACCGCGCACAGCCCTGGTGAGACCACGCACAGCCCTGGTAAGACACCGCACAGCCCTGGTAAGACAACGCACAGCCCTGGTAAGACCGCGCACAGCCCTGGTCAGACTCTGCGCAGCTTCCTGAAATGCTGCACAGCCCTGGTGAGCAACAGAGAGTATCTAGCGTCATATTATTCTGCATTGGTGTATAATGTATTGCTGGGATTTGTAGCCCTCTATTGCTGGTGGTACTCTGCACTGCTGTATAATGTATTGCTGGGATTTGTAGTTCCTCCACAGCTTGCACTCAGTGGCAGAACTACCAGGGTCACAGCAGATGCAGCTGTGACTGGGACCTGGTGCTCCATCACTGTCCTAAAATCATTAGTCTTTATTGTTTTAGAAAAGCCGTCACATGACCCTCAAAAAAAGATACAGGCAATTGGTATCGGCGAGTACTTGAGGAAAAGTCAAAACATGTTTATCCCCTGTAAATAGAAATCCCTAAAATGGAGATGGTCTAGTAAATGGATAACAATTAAATATAATGTATATCAAAATTTAATAATGAACATTTACACGTAAAGACACCTATAACAAAACATCTAAAAACAGTTAAAATAGCTTCCCTAGGGTCACCCTGGTATATTGATACGGGTGTTTGATCTATAGATCTCCTAAGAGGCAGAAAGTCTCTGGTGCAGATACGATAGTAGTATATCAAAAATAGAAACAGAGTATCGGAGCTGTATTCACATTGCGTGTAACCTGAGAGGGGGCAGTCCTGATTAGATCCCGCAACGATACATGCATGTAATTGTTTCAGAAAACTGTATCCGTTTATGGCAATTAAATTCCAAAGGATCTGTTTCATTCGTGGGTCAGAGGCTCTGTGGATGCCCTTCCCCCAGCCTGTTAGGCCTCACACCAGTCTGTGGGATTTAGTTCCAAATCGGAGGAAAAGTTCCAAAGAATGTTTCCACAAGTGCGGCCGCACTCTGGGATGGATTGTAGTGGAGTCCCCACAGCGGTGTGTCCGATGACACGGCAAGGATGGAGAGCTGTGTGCGTTCACACTAGCAGAGGCTCGCTCGCGTCCCCCAGTCTCAGCTGTATTTAAACAGATTCTGCTGCCGCTGTACTTGGGCAGTATCCGCATCGGGTTTGCTCCGTCCCTTGAACTCGGAATCCGTAGAGATACTTCGTTCTCACCCGAACGCGTGAGAGGTCAATGGCGGGTGTCCTGGGAAGCTGAACCACACGCTGCTCTGACGCGTTTCCCCCCGATAGCCGGGGCTTCTTCAGAGGGACTTCACACGCCCCTCTGAAGCAGAATCTGTTTAAATACAGCTGAGACTGGGGGACGCGAGCGAGCCTCTGCTAGAGATCGCGCACAGCCCTGGTGAGACCACGCACAGCCCTGGTAAGACCGCGCACAGCCCTGGTGAGACCACGCACAGCCCTGGTAAGACAACGCACAGCCCTGGTAAGACAACGCACAGCCCTGGTAAGACCGCGCACAGCCCTGGTCAGACTCTGCGCAGCTTCCTGAAATGCTGCACAGCCCTGGTGAGCAACAGAGAGTATCTAGCGTCATATTATTCTGCATTGGTGTATAATGTATTGCTGGGATTTGTAGCCCTCTATTGCTGGTGGTACTCTGCACTGCTGTATAATGTATTGCTGGGATTTGTAGTTCCTCCACAGCTTGCACTCAGTGGCAGAACTACCAGGGTCACAGCAGATGCAGCTGTGACTGGGACCTGGTGCTCCATCACTGTCCTAAAATCATTAGTCTTTATTGTTTTAGAAAAGCCGTCACATGACCCTCAAAAAAAGATACAGGCAATTGGTATCGGCGAGTACTTGAGGAAAAGTCAAAACATGTTTATCCCCTGTAAATAGAAATCCCTAAAATGGAGATGGTCTAGTAAATGGATAACAATTAAATATAATGTATATCAAAATGTAATAATGAACAATTACACGTAAAGACACCTATAACAAAACATCTAAAAACAGTTAAAATAGCTTCCCTAGGGTCACCCTGGTATATTGATACGGGTGTTTGATCTATAGATCTCCTAAGAGGCAGAAAGTCTCTGGTGCAGATACGATAGTAGTATATCAAAAATAGAAACAGAGTATC